TTTATATCAGTGAATCTTATATCGGCTTTGACTAACAAAGATGATGGTCAATTCCCTGCTAAATTAAACAGAGCTCATGGGGAAGTTGCACATATGCAAATCGACTGTCGTTGACGAAAAGTCAGGCAATACAGCACTTTTTTTCCAGTATTTATCGTTTCAAAGTAATCACGTTATTCATCAACAAGAGCTTAATACTCTAAAACATCGAAGAGAACATACAGTGAAAAACACAGTAAAATTGAGGAGGAAAATGATATATTTTTACTCTGTATTATTAAAATATACAACGCAAGCTCATAGTTATAAGAACCAGATGTTTCTAAGACTAAAATACATGCCAGCCTAAATGATTAATTTAAGAAAAACATTTTCTCCAGTAACTAAAAAACGGCCTCAAAATAATCAATATGTGGCCTTATCAACACTACTTCTCTAAAACAGGTGACTTATCTTTGTTTCATTGAAAGCTTTTTAACTGAACAGCAGTTTAGATAAAAATTCATATGTCACGAATAGATTCTGAACCGGAAGTCCTCGGGATCTAGGAAAGTTTTAAGTATATGCATCAGCTAATGTTTTTCTTGCGTCGGAACTACTCTGTTGTTAAATAACGACGCCTTTTGAAGAGAAGCCTTCCGCATCATTGCTTTATATCTCTTTTGAAGAAAACGTAAACTTAACGGTTTAATTCGGAGATTATAACTTGTTGAGTTATTTTCCAATAAAAATCGTTTCCATATTTATGACCAGTTAAAAATAATAAACTACAACGCAAGAATATTCCGTAACACAATAGAAACACACACGTTACCAAAACCACCCATTTTACAGCTGATTTGTTCTGTGTTTGAACTTTAACGATCCGATGATTAAAATTCAATTGCCTGGCTACAGTGCGATCTCTAGAGTTCAGATTGTAAACAACAAGAAACATGGATGTAAAAAAGATTAGCATCAAGCACAAGATTTTTTCGAAAAACAAATACAAGTAGCCGACGATGGTCATCGCATGTTCGAATGAATTGAGTCTAACTGACAATAAAGAAAAAGTAAGAGTAAAAAGAAAAGGAATTCACCAAGATGTAAAAGCCATTTGAATGACACGGCGGCGCTTCATCAATGTCAAGTGTTTCAAAGGTTTCCCACGGCAATTTATCCATTTACAACCATCGTGAGTATGCAGAGGAACCAGCCGAGGATCCAAAACCACAATTTCTTTGAATTTCTAGTTTAAGAAAATTTTAAGCAAGAACGTTTTAGGCAAAAAGAATTGTTTATATAAGGGTTTTATAAAACCATCTCGCTCCCATCAACTCCTAAAATGTACTCAGGACAATGGATAATGTTTAGTTGAGTCGCATTCAAGGCTGCAAACATTTCAATCGGTAACTTGATCCGAAATTTCACTCTCTATCTGCGTGTAATAATGTACATGAAAAAATTACGCGCGTCTGATTGGCTGAAACGAGTCCATTTTTCATGTAAAACGAGTGCAAAGTTGTAACACGAATGCAATATTGTTGTCTTTGAAAAATTTACTTGTGCTTACTAACACCAAATTGCACTCGAAATCATGTTGTTATTTATACTTAAAATATACACGAAAAATTTACGCGCTTCTGATTGGCTGAAACCGAGTGCATTTGTCATGTAACACTGGTGCAAAGCTGGAACATGAATACAAATTACAAATAGCGGGCACGCTGTCAAAATTTCGTTTGCCTTGCCTTTGAGAGATGCCTTTTTCATGTATATTATTACTAAGTAACAACATGATTTCTCGTGCAAAGGCTTACCTGATAAATTTTCAAAGACTACAAATTGCACTCGCAATTTGCTACGGGCACGTGAAATATTTGGTCTTTGATAAATTTACTCGATTTTAACACCAATTTGACTCGAAATCATGTCAGTACTACTTTGTGCTGTTACCTACAGGTTGTTCCGTGTCATTTGAGGCTAAGAGCTCGTTTCCATATTCGTTATAAACGTCATGCAAGACGTGTGGGTCAAGTGCGCCACTATTCAAAGAAAAGTTGTGTGTTAAGAACACGAGCAAAACCTGTCACGAATACTTTTCACGAAAACTTTATTGTGAACTTTCCTGAAAGCACTCGCCTTTCTCCGTAAGAGCGGTCCGGTCGATTTCGCTTGAGAAACAGATTTCGTTCATTTCTTGTGTGTTGCAAATTTCAAGACAGCTGTATTTTCCCGTCGTAACTTTGAAGGATAATTTAGGAAACAAAACAAAACAAAACAAACAAATCTGAGAAACTAAGCTCAAAAGAGATAGCACTGCCGTGTAGATCATGTCTATCTAAACCCATCGAGACGACCTTCAGAAACACCTGGTTTCAAACAATTGGGAAGACTGAAATAAACCCCTCTCGGTTCGGTTCGGTGAGTAGATAGGTTGAGGAGAGGGGTGAGGCGAAAAAAGCGTTATATGACAAAACTTGAGACAAAAATCAAAGGTGCGCATGATCATCTCTGACTCCATATCTTTTCCTAAAAGGAATTTTCTCTCTTTCATTCATAAAAATAACACTGCTCCAAGTCGCCAGTTGTTAATAGTCTGAGAGTCGTCTACCATATCTTTGCGAAGTTGAGATATTAGCTCTGTAAATACAGCCCTGTTTTATGTGTTTGTTACGTATCTCAAAGCACTACATAATAAATAACCAGGGCCGAAGCCAGACTTCAGAACAAGACGAGGCAAGTTTGGAGCGCCGAAGGCGCGAGCCGCTAGGGGAGTCTGGGGGCATGCCCCCCCCGAGAAAATTTTGAAATCTAGAGGCTCAGAAATGCTCTTTTAACCGATCCAATTTTTTCTAGGGATTATTTTCTCAATTAAACGTTTCTTCAAAAAAAAGTTAAAAAAAGCCAAAATCAAGACGAGGAAATCGCCTCGTCTTGCCGCATGCTAGCTACGGCCCTGATAACACAAGTTATAAGAATATATTGTTTGTGATGTCGAGGTCCAGTGGTAACGAATTCATTCCGCATTATAGAAGTTGTTAAAGTTGATTCTTAGTAGAAAGTCGGCCAAGTGCGATTGATAACCTCTGCGAACAAGTTTACCAACAACTGAAAAAAAAGATTTGAAAAACATTAGTGTTAATTTAAATCAAGCAGTTTTTCAGGATATAGTGTTCTCCTTTAGGGCGGTAACCGGAAAATTTACCGCCCCCAGTATCTCTTATTAGTGCCTAAAATCGCTTAAAATCCTTAAAAATTGAACAGATTGCTCTACCAGTTTGAAAATTTATTTTTCCTCTTCTGCTCACATTAAGGAGAACACCTTTATTCAGAGTGCACAGCACGCCGAATACACCCTTTTGGTGAGTAGTACGAACCCATCGCTGACTCGCAGATGTCCAAAAGTTAAATAAATTAAAACATTCATTCCATCAGACTGCTTTCCTCTAACGTGTTATGAAACCAACACAGAAAACATCACAACGTCCAATCAGAGACAAGGAAGCTATCACAAGGAGCCAATGAGAATTTAGACAAAAACAAGGAAATTGCCTGACGCGCGGAAAAAGGTGAATGACTGAGCGCAATATTCAACAGACCCCTGTTATCGCTAACACATTTTCCAGTCCCAAGTACTGTGAATGAAGAATTCCTTAAGAAAAATGTCGTTTCCCGAAACATCTCACCTGTGAAGAGAAAGGTAGAGAATTCTTTAAACACGTTAGGAGTATTACGCATGATGTCATGCGCAGGATGAGTCACGTGCCTTGTACTAGGGTCATGATGCCATGGGGACACCAACAGCTGCGCACGCAGTTTGAGTATAAGTGTGCCTAGGTCAATTATGTTGGTCATTACAGGGGCTGCCTTTCGACTGAGCAGAGAACAGAAAATGTATTTTCGGAGGTACTCCGTGTGTTGTCCAGGCTTTTTTCCTGGATAAAGAAAATCAAGAATTGCGGTGAACATTCTAAACTATGCAATCTCTTTCCTAAAAAAAAAAAAAAGAATTGCCGTGAAAAGGCGAACAACCTCTGGATATCTAACACTTAAATGCAGAAAGTTATGCGAGCACACCATCATTATTATTCCTTCGACGCGGGCTTTTCTTTGCCCGCCGAGAAGTAAAAGGCCTTTAAGGTGGTGCGATAAAAAAAAAAAACGCAATTTTTGTTGAAAATGAGTCCATTTTTCTTCATTCGATTTCACCTCTAAAGGCTTTTGTTTAATCGCCCCAAATGTCTTTTTGTGAATAATTTGTCAGGAAATAGTAATAAAATGCAATTTCTAAGGCACTTTTGTTCCGTTGCCATGGAAACGCATTTTTAAATGCGTCCTTTTAGGGCCCAAAAGTGCGATTTCCTCCCAGATCAAAGCAAGCTGATTGCGTCTTGAGTAAGCTATTGGGAGACTGGGGCCCATCAATGACTTTCAGCCTCGTTTTGGTATGTTTCGGTGAACAGCCGTTATTATCAATCATTCAGTTGGGAATTTTCGCAAGTGAGAGAGCTTCAATCATCAAAATGCCGAAATTTTCGTCTCAGAGACGCAAGAAGCGCAAATTTTATGGAAATCGCTTTACAAATAGTCCAAGAATTAACGAAGAAGAGTCGATTGTTGTCGAAAGCGCTTCGAGTGGGATACGTGAATCCACAGACGGCATTTCACATGATCAAAGCGAAGCGAAGGAATCTTCGACTTCGTATCGAAAGCTTCAATCAACTTCCCAAGAAGACAAACCCAAGCCTAAGCTGATCAAGGTAGATAAAGAGGAAACCAGTCCATCCATTACAGGGTTCAGGTTCTGTGATATGGAGGTGCTATCGTCCGTTTTTTCTTTGCTACGTTGTGGTGAATGCAGCGATTTCAGTCTTTTGTTTATGGAAGATAATTTGAAACGGAAGGGATGTGCGTCAACTTTGCGTTTGCTGTGCGAGAAGTGGGGATGGAAACATTCATTTTGCACATCAAAAAAGCAAGGAAAGAGTTTTGAAGTAAATCGGCGAATCGTTTATGGTATGAGAACTCTTGGAAAGGGTTATGCTGGTGCAAGGAAATTCTGCACAATTATGAACATGCCTCCACCTCCAACTGAGAAAGCTTTCCTCAGCAACTCGCGCGTAATCGGCCGTCACATGAAAGCGATTGCGAAGGAAACAATGAAAAAGGCGGGAGAAGAAGTTTTATCTCTCAAGAAGGATGTAAATTCTTCTGAAGGTCTACCTGTGAACTGTGGTGTTTCTTGTGACGGAACATGGCAAAAGAGAGGCTACTCGTCACGCAATGGTTGTGTGACTGTCATATCCATGGACACAGGAAAGGTTCCTGATGTGGAGGCCCTAAGCCAAGGATGCAAACAGTGTGAGCGGTATGAACAAATGGTCAAGAATTCTCTCGAATATCAGATGTGGAGAGCTGATCACACCACTTGCGAGTCAAATTTCCAGGGATCAGCACCTGCTATGGAACCAGAGGGTGCAGAGCGCATATTTCAAAGGTCTGTTGAGCTGCACAATCTCAGGTACACTGAATTTTATGGGGATGGGGACAGCAAGAGTTTTTCCAGGATAAAGAATATTTATCAAGATGCTGGAATTTTAGTGGAAAAGAAAGAATGCATTGGTCATGTGCAGAAGAGGGTTGGAACTGCACTTCGCAAATTAAAGCGTGACAATCCAAGCCTTGGAGGCAGAGGGAAACTCACAGATAGTCTAATTGATAAACTGCAGAACTATTATGGCATTGCCATAAGGTCCAATGTTGGAAATTTGGCTGGAATGAAGAAAGCTATCCATGCTAGCCTCATGCATTGTGCCTCAAGTGAGGCACGCCCACTTCATGACCACTGCCCAACAGGTAGTGCAATTTGATGCAAGTATCAAAAGGACAAAGCCAACCATACGAATCTCTTTAAGCATGGACCTGGCCTTCCTTTACCTGTTTTTGCCAAGCTAAAGCCTGGATATATTCGACTTAGTGAGAACAACTCATTGCAGAAGTGCTTACATGGCAAGACACAAAATCAAAATGAGTCTTTGAATGGGATGGTATGGCAAAGGATTCCAAAAGAAATTTATGTTGGAAGGGAGACATTAGAATTAGGACTTTATGATGCTGTTTCTTATTTTAATATTGGTTCAATGAGTATTATAAAGCTTTTCCAAGCCCTTGGTATTCCTTCTGGCAAATATACCGAGGAGGGTTGCAGACTCCAAGACCAGCTTAGAGTTAATATTGCACAACATAAAAGCAAAGCTACTACCAAGAAGCGACGCAAAGTGATTAGGGGCCTTAAAAAACGAAAAGATGACCATAATAAGCAAACTGAAGGAGTCAGCTATGGTCCTGGTCAGTTTTGAACAATTCAATTCATGGAAACTGTGTTTAAATCTTGAAAAAATCAGTTTAAAACTTTAAACCAGTTTTCTCTCAATTTCGAATTTTATGAAACTACCGACATGCTAGCAAAGATAACTTTCCAGCGTTTTATTCAATTCTTCTCATTTTTGGAGTGAGAAATCTCAGTATATTTTTGCATGCAATGAACTAGAAACATACACTTAGGTGCATCTTTTGTTGTTGAATGACCAAAATGAGATTGCTCATCTTATCAATTCCTGAAAGTTGTTGTGTTTTCTTTAATATTCTCCATTCTATATGACTGAGAGGCGTTTCTGTAGTTCATTGCATGCAGGTGCATGTGAAGATCATTGTCTAAAAATTTTGTGAATTTTTAATCTAATGTTAAAGAGATATGACTGTTCTTGTTCTCTCCTTAGAGGATCTCCTAATTTCATCTTTCCACCGCAGTGCAAATATGTGAATTTTCATATATCTAAAATCTTCATTCACTTGGATGTTTATTTGGACCCAATTCGTTGACCAGCTCCCAGTTGGCTTGTTAGCTCAATTGGTAGAGCGCTGCACCGGTATCGCAGAGGTCATGGGTTCAAATCTCGTACGGGCCTGAAATTTTTTTCAGGTCCTATTTACAACTACTCGTTTCAGTAGTGTTCTTAGCTGCGAGGATCTCCTAGTTTCATTGTTGAAATAAGTTTAAAAATAAAAATAGGAACTAAATAAGTAAATAAGCGATCAATACAACAACAATGAACGAACAAATTTCTCGCTGCCGCCTCAGGAGTCACTTGGTTCAATGAAAACTGTCATGGCGGCTACGAATGGGATGGAGTTTGTCTTACAGTGTACATGCTGTACTGTCTAATTAGTGCCCCCTTCGACTTGTCACTCTGTAATTTAATGTTCAACGATAACGAAAACAAGAAGAACACTGTATTTCAATCCAATATGTATTAATACATGAGTTATTTACCTTGGGAAAAGTCGGGACAGAGTGTCGTTCATCAATTGGCCGCAAACTGGCTTAAAAAGACGCTGAATTTCTTTTTTTAGTTCATAAGCTCTTTCCACGTGCAAGACTGATAGCAAATTCATGAATTTTAATTTTTTAAATGATTTGTAATTCAAATGAGTTTTCCAACTTTGAACGACGGTCTGGATACCAACGACGAGCTTTTCGATTAGTTTTGTGCAATCGTAAGCAATAATTGGCTATTTTTTAAGGTAGAAATACCACAACTATTGCTTGTAGATAACCTTTCAGTTATTAAAATCGTTGTCCAGATTCAATCGGAAACAGCGCACGACAGTAGCCTTGCGAAGAGCCACTGCTAAATTCCAAATTAGCTCACTTACATCTGTTTTATTTTATTACCTATCAGCTCGCTCGAACTCCCTGGAATCGCGATAATTTTTTTTCGATTCCCTTACAATTTCGCGATAGAGGTCTCTCCTCTATTTCAAACTACACCTGTCTCGACGAAGAAAATTACGGTCCAAGGAGTAGGTGTATTTTTCCAATTTCCGACAAAGGGTGAAAGGAAAAGAAAAAAGAAAAGGAAAGGAGAAAGGAACGTGCAGTCGAGCATCAACTAACAACCTCGGGCTCATCCTCACAAGGGTCATTTCTTTTGGGGTACCAGCGGATGACCTGTACGCATTTCAACTTCTCAAGAGAATATCAACTGTTGACTTACTTACTCTCTTGACCTCTCTAGAAAAAAAATTGGCTCCAAAAGACTAACAGCTTTTTATCCCTTGTGGGGGGAGGGAGAGGAGGTTGAACGATACACATGGCTACAATGGTCATAAGCAGTACTGCAATCATGAAGATTGCCGCGCAAAAGGCTGCCTTGCAAAACCTTCGTTCATAGATCAAGTTTAGATTGTTAAGGGGCAAAAAGTCCCCAATGCACGACATATATTTAGGAACTGACGGACACTATGTCAACTAAAATATTTCGCCTAGCCCTCTGCCAACGTTAAGATATTATAGAATCATATTTTGGTGGTATCGTCAGGTTGAACTACGCGTGGATCAAGCGATCTGTTACAGAACCGGACATATCAATTTACAAGGAATATAAAAGGTTTTTACTCTTTTCATTTTATTATGCAAGGCATCAAATTACATCAATACGAAATTCAGGGAATCCAGCTCTTGTTTTCCAGCATTTATCGTTTCAAAGTTATCATGTAATTCATCAACAAGAGCATAATACAGTGGACTGGCGGACTGTTGAAAAAACGCAGAAAATTGAGGAGCAAAATGATATTTTTTACTCTTTATCGTTGTTTCCAAGACTACAATACAAGCCAGCTTAAATGATTAATTTAAGAAAAACATTTTCTCCATTAAAGTATGGCCTCAAAATAATCAAAATATGGTCTTAAATATTAGAGACAAATGTAATATCAACACTACTTTTCTCAAACAGGTGACTTAACTATGAAAAAATTAGCCACCGCTTAAGAACGACAAATGTGTTGGTTTTGGTGCGAAGCTGACGTTGAATGCAGACGAGGAAGATGACAAATCCATTTACAATCATTGTGATAATGCAGAAGAACCAGCCGAGAACCCAAAACACGGTTTCCATTGAATTTCTTTTTTATGGCTGTCCTTAACTACTCTGTTGTTCTTGCGTCGGAACTATTCTGTTGCTAATTAACGACGCCTTTTGAAGAGAAGCTTTTTGCATTCTTGCTGTATATCTCTTTTGAAGAAAGCATAAGCTATAGGGTTTATTCCAGAGTTAATAACTTCTAGAGGTATTTTGTAAAGAAAATCGTTACACTTTTGATCAGTTAACAATAAAAAACTACAACGCATCATTATTCCATAACATGACAGAAAAACACACGTTACCAATGCCACCCATTTTACCGCTGACGCCTTGTTTTGAGTTTTAGCTCTAGCGATCGGTTGATTAAACCGCAATTTCTTAGCTAAAGTGCGATCTCTAGAGTATAGAGCAAAAAACATGGATGCAAGAAAAAAGATTAGAATTACGCACAAGATTATCTCAAAAAGCAAATACAAGTAGCTGCTCATAGTCCGGGCACGATCGATTCCACTAAGTTTAATGGACACTAAAGTAACAGTAAAAAGAAAAGGAATTCCCCAAGATGTTAGAACCATTTGAATGACTCGACAGCGCTTCATTAAAGTCAAGTATTTCAAAGGTTTTACAACAGCAACATAACGTTCCAGTACTAAAACAACCAAGTTTGTTCCAGAGGTGTAAACAATGAAAACCCTTACAAACATCATAATTAATCCCTCTTTTGAGCGCGGAGTGCATTTGGTTGCAAGGCCGCAGAAAAAGTGTGAAGGAGCAGCGAGCATTCCGACCTTTGTTGCCTTTCCTGTTGTTACTTGCCGGCCTGGTGTTTTCGTCGGTTACTTTGCCGAAATTTCACTTTCCATCTCCGTGTAATTTGTGCTGTTATCGACAGCTTGTTCTGCATCAGTTGCAACCAAATAACTTGTTTTCATACTCGTTTTAAAGGTCATCATATTGAAGACTTGTGGATCAAGTGCGTCAATTTTCTGTGAAAAATTTGTTAGACACACTAGCAAAAATTAAAAACATTTCACAAAGACTTATCGAGAAAACATAAAGTTCTAAAATTTTCTGAAAGCGTTTGCATTTGACGACATTGACCGACCAATTACAGGACTAAGATATTTATCAAATATTTCATTTTAAGTCGAACTAGGATCTTCTTTGACGAGAATCTCCAAGAAAAGTTTTCATAGGATAAAATAGTGTTGGAAATGTAATGTTGGTACCTGACTACCAAATGTGAAATATTTCTTGACGAAAAGGGGAGATTAAAAGTTTTATATCAATGAATCTAGTATCGGCTTTGGCTAACAGCGATGATGGTCAGTTCCTCGGTAAATTAAAACCGTGACAGCTCATGTGGAAGTTGCACGTATGCAAATCGACTGTCGTGGACGAAATTCAGGGAATTCAGCTCTTGTTTTCCAGCATTTATCGTTTCAAAGTTATCATGTAATTCATCAACAAGAGCATAATACAGTGGACTGGCGGACTGTTGCAAAAACGCAGCAAAATTGAGGAGGAAAATGATATTTTTTACTCTTTATCGTTAAAATATACAACGCAAGCTCGTAGTTATAAGAACCAGATGTTTCTAAGACTAAAATACAAGCCAGCTTAAATGATTAATTTAAGAAAAACATTTTCTTCAGTAAAGTATGGCCTCAAAATAATCAACATGTGGTCTTAAATATTAGAGAAAAATGTAATATCAACACTACTTCTCTTAAACAGGTGACTTAACTATGAAAAAATTAGCCACCGCTTAAGAACGACAAATGTGTTGGTTTTGGTGCGAAGCTGACGTTGACCGCAGACGAGAAAGATGACAAATCCATTTACAATCATCGTGATGATGCAGAATAACCAGCCGAGAACCCAAAACACGGTTTCCATTGAATTTCTTTTTAATGGCTGTCCTTAACTACTCTGTTGTTCTT